GATGAAAGTTGCAATATCGCATTACAGGAGCTCAAGGACCGTCTGTGCAAAACACCTATTTTGGGATACCCTGATGCAAGCAAAGAATTTATAGTTGACACAGACGCAAGTGATATAGGACTTGGCGGTGTGTTGTCTCAAAGGAATGGTGACCAAGAGGTCGTAATATCGTACTTCAGCAAGTCGTTGTCAAAACCGGAAAGGAACTACTGTGTCACAAGACGCGAATTGCTAGCTGTGGTAAAGTCGTTGCAGCATTTTAGCAAATATCTTCTGGGGCGAAAATTTCACTTACGAACTGACCATGCTGCACTAAAATGGCTATTGCAGTTTAAAAATCCAGAAGGACAAGTTGCGAGGTGGATTGAACTACTGCAGGAATACGACTTCGAGATCGAACATCGCAACGAGAAATCTCATGGCAACGCAGATGCATTGTCAAGAAGACCTTGTCCTGAAGATTGCAAACATTGTACTAGGCAAGAGAGTAAGGAAGTGGTATCCGTGAGGATGCTCAGGGCAGACCACCTCAGCAACGAGTGGAAGGACAGCTTACAACGTGCACAGCAGGAAGATCCGGACATCAAGCCGATCCTGGAATGGATGAAGGCCAGTGCTCCCAAGCCCAAGTGGAGCGACGTCTCAGCGATGAGTTCGACCACTAAAAGCTATTGGGCCCAGTGGGACAGCTTGCAGCTTCAGGATGGAGTTCTGTGCCGTAAATGGGCAAATGTTCGGGGAGACAGCTGTCATTTACAAATGGTTGTCCCTAAAGCTAAAGTACCGGATGTTCTACAGCTGTACCATAATGATTATTCAGGAGGCCATCTGGGAGTTAAACGAACTCTACTGAAGTTCCGAGAACGGTTTTACTGGGTCCACTGTCGAAACGATGTCGAGGACTGGTGTCGCAAATGTACACGTTGTGCGGCTCTAAAAGGACCTCAGACTCGTAATAGAGGTGCATTGAAGTTGTACAATGTTGGTGCACCATGGGAGAGAATAGCCATTGACGTGGCGGGGCCGTTTCCGGAGAGTGAAAGCGGTAACAGGTATTTCATGGTTGTGATGGATTACTTCACTAAGTGGCCAGAAGTCTTCGCCATTCCAAATCAAGAAGCTTCAACAGTTGCTGACAAGCTAGTTCATGAAGTCTTCTGTCGTTTTGGTGTACCTTTAGAGATTCACAGCGATCAAGGAAGGAATTTTGAGTCTCAAATATTCCAGGAAACTTGCCGAGTTATGGGTACTCATAAAACAAGAACGACTTCTTATCACCCGCAATCTGATGGAATGGTAGAACGATTTAATCAGACATTGGAGAGGTACCTAGCAAAAGTTGTAGACAATCGGCAACGAGATTGGGACAAGCACATACAACCGTTTTCGTTGTCATATCGAAGCGCTGTTCACGAAAGTACAGCAGTGACACCAGCTTTCGCAAACTTTGGAAGAGAATTACGGCTGCCTGCAGACCTGATCACCGGGATACCACCTGATGCTCCACGCAGTATAACCGATTATGCAAATGACTTGCGGAACAATATGAATGACGTTTATGAGCACGTCAGACAATCGGGCCAGCAAATGTCTGAAAAGATGAAAACCCGGTATGACCGCAAAATGAACAACAAAGGGTTCGACGAGGGTTCACTTGTGTGGTTGCACAATCCAGTCCACAGCAAAGGGAAATCTCCGCTAAATGGGACGGCCCGTACCGGATTGTGACCAGGATCAACGATGTACCCTACCGGATACAGAAAGGCGCAAGAGGGACTCCTAAGATCGTCCATGTGGATCGCCTAGCGCGTTATTATGGGACCGATAATGCTCGGGACGAGCATGTCTTAGGAGGGGGCAGTGTTACCCACTCCAATGCCTCAAATCGGCGCACTAGCGCCATCTAGTCTCGAACCGAAGAACTAAACTTCTTGAAGTTTAAAACTCGAACTCTCGGTACCTTGCGCGTGTTTACTTGAACATTCTGGATATTTTGCTAATTTATATAAGTAGGCGCTGCAAGATGCGATCGAAGCAGAGTTGAACTCGGCGACACAAGCGAAGCTTCGGAACGGAATTAAGTGAATTAGTGTGTTTAAATTATTAGTGTTTTTAGTTTTAATTTGTGTAAAGTAAATTAAAGTGTTAATTTAGGTAATTTTATCGGCAATTTTTATTGTCACGAACCAAGCTCGTAACAATATGAACAGAAATTCGTAAATTTGTGGTTAAAAGATGATAGGTTCAAAGGCTGGTTAAAGAAAAGCAAGGTGACACTTATTTCTTTTATTCTGCGTGTAATTGCGACAGAAAATATGGTATACACGAACTGTTACGACACAAAGATTCAACAAAACACGCGAAGAATAGTTTGAAATTACAAAAACAACAAAAACTGACATCAATGCTTACCTCAGTTTACAACTCATAAGATACAAAAATTATAGCTAAAGCGGGTGAAGTAAAAATGGCCTGCTTTATTGCTGAGCATAATCTGTCTTATAACATAGCATCTCATTTGAATAAATTGATTTGCGCTGTATGTCCAAATTCGAAAATTGCGGAACAATTATCAATGAGCCGCACGAAAGCTAGAGCTATTATTGTTAATGTAACTGGGCAGACAGCAGAAGAAAATATAATAGAGATGTTACAGAACAATTGCTTTGCATTACTTGTTGACGAAAGCACAGATAAGTCTACGATAAAATATTTAGCGCTTGTCGTAAGAATAGTAAAATTAGATTTCAGCGTTGAAGATAGATTTCTGACTTTAATATCAATCGTAGATGCTACATCAACAGCGTTGTATGGCAAAATAGTAGAATATTTTGTTGAAAAAAAATATTCCTTACAAATCAAACATGATAGGCTTTGCTTCTGATGGCGCTAACGTTATGTTTCATTGGTCACTTTGTTTTAAAATGACATACCTCACCTTTTTACTATGAAGTGCATTTGTCATTCTTTTAATTTTTGCGCATCATACGCATGTGAGAAATTGCCAAGGGGCGTAGAAGATTTCTGTAGAATTTTGTATATGATTATATACAATCATATACAAAATTCTCCAAAATGTATTGGAGATTTCAAAACTAAATGAAATAGAAATTCCGAAAGAAGATGAAAGAGATAGGGAGATAAGTATAGATGAAATAATGAAAGTAATGAAAAGCATGAAAGTAGGTAAGGCAGCCAGATATGATAGAGTTTCACTCGAAATGCTAAGGGCTGGAGAGGACGTGGTGGCAGGCCTGCTGTACACCTTGTTTAATTTATGTTGGGAACTAAAGCGGGTACCGGGAGACTGGTGCAAAGCCGTGATAGTCCCAATATATAAGGGAAAAGGGTCACAGCAGGACTGTAAAAACTACCGTGGTATCAGCCTTCTTAGCATTGTGGGAAAACTGTATGCTAAGGTACTAATTGAAAGAGTTATGAAAGAAACTGATGAAAAAAATTTGGGATGTGCAAGCGGGATTTAGAAAGGGAATGGGGTGTACAGATCAAGTCTTTTCCATGCGCATGATCGAATTTTGGCGAAAAACCAAAAAGTTTTTTGTGCGTTCATGGACTTGGAAAAGGCTTATGACAGAGTGGACAGGGATGTGTTATGGCAAACGCTGAACGCGTTTAGGTTGAGCGCTGGTTTGATACAGGCATTAAAGTCTCTGTATAGGGACTCGAGTGCTTGTGTTAGAATCAACGGGGTCTACTCGGACTGGTTTGGCATCCATAAAGGTGTCAGACAGGGCTGTGTAGCTTCCCCGTGGCTGTTCAACCTATTTATGGACAGCTGTTTGGAAAATTTGAAAGTTGAAGAATGCGGGTTAAGAATGGGTGAGTTAACCATCAAATGCCTTTTGTACGCCGATGATCAAGTCATACTTGCGTCGTCGGCGGCCGAGTTGCAAATGATGGTTACATTAATGAACAGGTAATTAAAAGAAAGGGGAATGAAAGTGAACGCAAGTAAGACGAAAGTGATGGTTTTTGAAAGAGATGAAAGCAAAACGGTATGTGAAATAAGAATAGAAGGAGAGTTAATTGAGCAAGTGGATGAGTTCGTATATTTGGGATGTGTATTCAGCAGGGATGGAAGATATGATAATGATAGAGAACGACGAGTGAAAGCAGGAAATAAAGTAAATGGGGCTCTACAATCTATTGTGAAAAGTCAGAATGTGTCAAAAATGGCACGTATGGCAATTCACAGTGCTGTATTAGTCCCTACTTTAACGTATGGTAGTGAAAGTTGGGTGTGGCAGAAGAAGCACGAGAGTAGAATAAATGCAGTAGAAATGCGGTCGCTAAGGAGTATGTTAGGGCTGAATCTGAGTGACAGGGTGAGAAACTGTGTGATAAAAGAAGAGTGTGGTTTGCAAGATGATGCGGTGACCAGGATTAAGAAAGCAATGCTTCGGTGGTTTGGTCATGTAGAAAGAATGAATGTGGAAAGACTGACAAAGCAAATATATGTTGCAGAAGTGAATGGAAGAGTCGGAAAGGGACGTCCTAGGCGGAAGTTTGTCGACCAAATTGGCGATATACTAAAAATGGGCCAAATTAAGAGTACCCTTAACCGACGAGCATGTATGCGTAGGTATATGGATGTGGAAGAGGCGAGAAAGGTATGTCAGGATCGTGCTAAATGGAAGTCTGTAGTCTCTGCCTACCCCTCTGGGTGACAGGCGTGAGTGTTTATGTATGTATTTCAAAACATTCAAGCATTCACAAATATTAAACCACACAAATTGCTACACCATAGCCAAACCAGATGGTTGTCACTTGTTAAGGTAGTAAATAGGCTTCTGGAACAATTACCAGCTATAAAATTGTATTTTCAAGCTGCAGTTCATGTAGATAGATTACTTTCTGCACAATCAATTCTCTCCAAGGCTCTCGAACCGACAACTGAATTAACTGAATTGTACTGGAATTGTACCTGGAGTTTTTGAAATTTGCATTACCTATACCGATTTACCGATCTCAATAAAGAAATGCAATCCGAGACTCCAAAATTATATTTACTATACGACAAAATACTGACCGCATACACAACTATCTTGGAATGCTTTGTACAAACTGAATATTTGAATCTCACTGAACAAGAAAAAAATGAAGCACAAAATATTTTAGGCGCAAAGGGAACTAAAATATTAAACCTTGACTTCTCGAGTGAGCAGAAACATTTACCGTTGCAACATATATACGTTGGTGGAATGGTGCCAAATCTGATCAGAAGAAAGAGAGAAATAGGAGAACTAGAGGAAGAACAGCTGAAAAATTTCTACTTAAAGTGTAAGGAGTTTTATATGGAGGCTGCCAAACAGATATTAAAAAGGTTTTCTTTTGAGGACAAAGACCGTCAAGCATTAAAATGTCTGAAGATGCTAAATCCTACAGCAATTCTGGATCCTGAAATAAAAAAGAAATTCCCTTCCATTGCAGATTTACATTATTTCTTCCCAAAGATTTGCCCAAATAATATAACGGAACTGAATAGAGAATGGCGAATGTTAAGAAATGTCGATTTTTCTTTCAACCAAAACAAAACTCCCGATATTATCGACTTTTGGAAACATGTACAAGAATTAAGAAATGGAGACAAATCTCAAACATTCCCTACATTGTGTGAATTGGTAAAAAAATCTTTTGTGCCTACCACATAGCAGCGCCGCCGTGGAAAGGTTATTTTCTGCTATGAATATTATGAAAACCAAATTACGCAACAGAATATCGACTACAGCTATTAAAGGAGTATTACACAATAAATCCGAAATAACCGATTGCTATTCATTTGAAGCCACAGAAAGGCACATGAAGAAATTCAACAAAAATATGTATGATTTTAACAATAAAAATGAGTGTGAAAATATTGAAGATGAGGCAATTGAAAATGAAACTGAAAAATAATTTTACTTTGATTTTTGTTTTTTGTTATTGTTATTATAAATATATCAATGTATGTGAGTTCTAGTAACTAAGAAAATTGTTTGCATCCCTCATCATAGTATTTTCTTCCTGAATTAACGGTGTAACCATTGTAAGAAGTTCATCAAATTTTGCTTCATTCATGCGAAGATGATTGAGGTATGCATCTGGATCCTCTTCTGCCAATTCTCTCAATAGACGGTTTGACGCTCCTAAGGCTTGCCTTCTTAAGGGGAAATATAACCTCAAATGGCTTAGCAAGATCCTCCGTTATGCCGAAAGTATTGCAGCATTAATTTTGAAATAAATATATGGTAAAGTTGAGGATTAATGTTAAGGACTATGTTAGACGAAAACACGATTCCGTAAAATTTTCTCGATAGAAAAAAAATCCAAAGTTACCTCCAAACTGAACAATAAACCGCTGTTATTCATAAAATACTTTAAATAAGATCATGAAACTTTGCATACTAACTGAACTAACTATAAAGCAGTGCTTATGTTATTTACTTTTTTTAAAATACCATTATTTTCACTGTAAAAAAGAAATTACCTAAACTATCGGCGCGTAAGCTTGATTCCTGTCGCCCCGTTAGTATCGCTCCGGCTTTTGAAGGGAGAAGTTGTGTCGCTTACGATCAGAATATACATTACGCAACAGGACGACGTAAAATTAAAATGGGAAATAACCGTTATAAAAATAAGAAGCGACTGGGTTGGCGTTAAGAAACAGACATAAATATGATAAACCTAATGAAATAAGTATCTAACGACCTATCTACTTACAGTATTAGTGATTACAAACATGTCGGTACATAGCATACGACGCGCGGGGAAGTGGGGGCGAAATTAGAATTCGAGCTGACTTACTCTATCCTCTTAATACCCATGATCGCACCCACCAACGACGGCGTTTCCTTAGCGTCTTTTTCGATAATTTTTTTATTAAATCATCACATATTATTGCAACTCCTAAACGTACGACCTCATTCGACGACATCTTTCGAAGAATATGTGTTGAACAGTTCATTTTCCAGATACCGTGTAAACAGCATTCCTTTCATTTCTTCTCCATTCAACCAAAGTGATTGAATTTGATTGAACCGTGTATTTTCACCTTAAAACACGGGAGCGCCTGCGATGCAAAGTGATACGTCCTCGCCATAGATTACTGACTATGTACTAGAGAATCCTCGCTCTGGGAAGGCCCGGTCGTCACTGATCGGATCGATTTTACGCGGTCGATAATATAGTTCACTTTGCCATTTAGTAATAAACGAAATATATTATTTATTTATGAAATAAAATTTAGTTTCCAAGAAAGGGTTATCTTAAGATTAATGTGTAATTTTTTAAATTAATTAAAAGTGTTTCTATGAAAAAAAAACTTATTTCGAACGAAGTTTTCTGGAAATTACGTTATTTCAACAATTTTTTCTGCTATATTTGGATAGAAATTTAAAAAAAAACTGATCTGGCTACAAACAAGTAGACCGTATACTTATGTTATTTATACTTTTTAATGTTTGAAATATTTTGTAGTTTCGTTGTAAAACGAAGACAAAAATCACTTGATCGTTACTTTTCGGAAAAAGGGTCAATATTAGTGATTTGCCATTATTATATAGATAATATTAATATGATACATCCCTTTAAGTCAGATATTAGATTTAGAACTAGACTATTATAATAAAAATAAAAAAACGTTAAAATTCGTTTTCCTGTTCACACAAACAGTGATCAGATTTGTCCGAAATGAGTTGATTTTGCGCACGGGGCCTTAAGGTGAATCCCTGACCAAAATGTTGCGAAAGTGCGGAAAAACCTTTTTAAAATGACTAAAATTCTTGATTACATGCATCTGTTGCTAAACGCAACGCTCTAATCATTTGAGGATAACACTAATGGATAGATAATTAAAAAATCTATATTCTCCACGCTTTATTTATATTTTTAAGTTCGTTTTTTCTCTTTTAATTGAAATAATTCCGAAAATTGTGTGACTTCTATGATAAAGAGGCGTGCGCAGAGTGCGGGCGGCATTACGCTGTATGCGTTCATACGAGGTGGTCGCGTCGCTGGTCGCCGCGCGTCCGTATTTCGCCGCAAACATATTATTATTTGAGTACCTACCAACCGATGCGCTTACGTCACGGTATATTGTAACTCGGCCGTTTCTTAGAAATAAATATTACAGCCGTGCGGTACGTAAACATGCGATAGGGCTGCTGCCTCCAGTATTTTTACATTTGCCCATTGATTTATGTGTTTTATAACTCAATGCATTTTCCTACTTTGTGTTTCCATTTAGTTTTATGATTGTACTTAAATATACTTTTTTATATAAACAAAATATAATAGGTACTTTGTGAATTGAATAGGAAGTGTTCAATAAAAATGCGTGTCGTTTTATGATTGGTAGATTTAATTAAAAAACCATGTTTATGTTTGAATAACAAATTGGTCTTATAAATTTGCGGCCGAAAAATATTTGCGCCTCGGCTGAGACGTACGAAATGCTTTATTATTAAAATTTTAAATATAAAAAAATCCGCATTATAATATAAAGCTTAATTAAAAATTGTTTTGGGAAACATGGACAAGTTGGAGTAAAGGAATATCTTTTACTTGGTTATAGATACCTGCAGCTATTTCACAATTTATATGTTTGGTTTTAAATGAAGTTTGGATTTATTATTTTTTTTTATTCTATTTTCTGAAAGGGTCCTAGGAAAGGAATTATACCCACTGCGTGTTGGCGAACTTTGCATGTCTTCGAAATATTTTTTTTCTTATTTCTCAGACATGCAGGTTTCCTCACAATGTTTTCCATCACCACTGAGCACGTGGTAAATCAACACTTAAAATTGCAATTACAATATTATTGGTGCCGGCGGGGATCGAACCCGGTTTGCTCGCACACTGTGAAAATTTTAGCAAGCGCTAACCATCTGAGCTACCACGGCTCCTCTCCTCTCGAGCTAGAGACTTTATTTTATTTATCGTCAGGCCTGTTGGTCTAGTGGTTAGTGACCCTGACTGCTATGCCGCAGGTCGTGGGTTCGATTCCCACCCAGGACAAATGTTTGTGTGATGAGCACGATCATTTGTTCTGTGTCTGGGTGTAATTTATCTATAATATTTATGTATTTAGAAATATATAAGTATGTTTATCAGTTGTCTAGTACCCATAACACAAGCTCTGCTTAGCTTGGGACTAGATGGCGTTGTGTGATATTTGTGGAATATTATTATTATTATATTATTATTTTGGGGTATCTGTATAGTTTTCTCATCTGGTTGGTTTTTATAAATATAAATTAAAATGAAAAGAAAATATACATAAATATCAATAAAATAAAATAAATACAAAAAATATACAAATAAATAAAGATCCAACCATATTAAATAAAAAATAGTCTCCTATCTTTCTCTCTATGTTTTGATCTCCTAAAACGAGTTTGAGTTGGTAAAATCAAGACAAACTTAGGGTAGGGTTGACAATAACTATTATTTTGATAATAAAACTAGTGAAATTCCGCGGTTTTATATGCGCAAGCGTGAACGTAGTTAGAACATAATATAACCTTTATATTTTACATAAATATCCTAAAAAACTTATTATTTTAATATTTTACTAAGTACCTATAAAATTAACAAGTTTATTGCATTTTTATTTGAGTAATTTTTTATGCAATTTCTTTATCTACGTCTATTTTTAGGAACCTTTATTTAGTCTGAATCAAACATAACACTATATTACTGATTTACTTACTTATACGTAGTTTTTTTTTGCAGTTACAAATATCTTGTGAGGTTGAAAAAGGCAGTAATGAAAAAATAATAAGAATAATAATAATTGACGTCAGCCACTTCTTTTCATAAAAATTTCAGATCATGGTCCATTAGGTTGCAGCTTCACCGAACCACAACTTATAATAATAATAATAACAATAATAATATAATATTATTTACAATATTATTATTTATTTTTTATGCAATACAGGATCAGGTTATTAAGACCAACAACTATCGGAGATACATCCTAAAGGATGGCACCATCGACATCTGTCGAGCTTGTCGCCATCCCGGTGAGTCACTTAGGCATGTTATCTCCGGTTGTTCGGCGCTTTCTAACTCTGAGTACTTGCACAGGCACAACCTAGTAGCCAGAATTCTACACCAGGAGCTCGCTCTGAAATACGGTCTCGTGGATCGGAAATTGCCGTATTACAAGTACTTGCCGGAAGCCGTGCTCGAAAATGATCGCGCCAGGCTCTATTGGGACCGGGCCATCATCACAGACAGGACTATTCTTGCGAATAAGCCTGATATTGTGCTGATGGACCGGGCACAGTCAAGGATATTTTTGGTCGACATTACCATTCCGTATGACGAGAACCTCGTGAAAGCCGAAACAGACAAGCAAACAAAATATCTGGACCTGGCTCACGAGGAGACCGACATGTGGGGTGGTCTGCCGACCGAAATTATTCCTGTAGTCGTCTCTTCAAACGGGCTAATCCCAGTCAGCCTCTCGGGTCATCTGAGGCGGCTGGGACTACGTGGCGGACCGCTCCAGGTTCAAATGCAGAAGGCGGTGCTCCTCGATACCGCCCGCATCGTCCGCCGGTTTCTTTCCCTTTCCCCCTAACCCTCGGCCGTTTGGTCTCCCCTGCCGAGGGCCTCCATCTGGTTGGGCTTATACTTATTTATGTACTTTTATATTTATTTTATG